AACACCTCTAGGTTTATATAAGTATAAAATAAGGTAATGTGATAAGATGAAATGAGATAATATATCTATATGTATAATATATATGCATACTTTACATATAAGGCATATTATATATACTTTATATACTACTAAGAAGTATAGAGACATATAATATGAATTACCATGATACTTTGATGGAAATATTTTTCATTATTTTTTTCTTATAACTTAGAGATGCCAAATAAATGTGATTAATATTTCTCTAATTCCTAGTATGTGCCAAAGAAAGTCCTATTAATAATCAAAATGCTACTTGTTCTACTTAAGTAGAGTATTTGCCTATTAACATGTTACTTGCTTTTTTTTTTTTTTAAGTGTGGAAGTTAACATAGTTTCAGTGGTTTTTGTCTCCTTGTGTTGGGAGGTTTATCCTCAGATGGTATTCAGAGGTGCTGTGAACCAGAAAAGGTGGCACCCTAACTTGAGGTCATTAGGGATGCTGGTTATTTCTCCTGGGACCTTAGTTAGTTCTAAAGAGACTGGTCTCATGCAGACCTCTGGCTTTTTTTGGATATGGGAATTCTTCTTCTTGCATACATTTTTGCCATCTTCCACTTGGCCCTTGGTAGACACCACATCTGTAGGACTTTCCACATGCCAAACTGCAAGCTAAACAAATCTCTTCTCTTTATAAAGTCTGCTAGTCTCAGCCATAACACAGTGTTACAGAAGTCATACACAAACACATTGTATTTGTAAAAGCTTCAGGGATGCCAGATATCAAAGGAGAAATGAGAAAGACTGTCTTTAACGTCACTTTCCTTTCCCTCTCCAGTGTTAGCTGTATTCATAATATATATTTATGTACATATGTGTATACTTTTTTACAAATGCTCAGTGTTCTACGTTATTACTCTATATTTAAAAACGCAAGATCTCTAAGCTGCACAGCCCACAGTAAGTAAATAAGACTCTGTCATTAAAAAAAAAAAGAAAAAAATGCAAGAATCATGAGGCAGGGAATTTGTTTTATTTCATGTTCTTTAGTTCCTAGGGTTCGCAATAAATGCAATGAATGAATATTTGTTCAATACATAGATTATTTCTGATTGTAGCCATTAAAATATTGTTGGGAAAATGTTCGCCTGTGCCTCTGTATGTAATAGAAATGTCATTTTTTAGGATGACCATCAAAATGTGGTTTTAAGCCAAGCGCCGGTGGCTCACACCTGTAATCCTAGCTACTCAGGAGGCTGAGATCTGAGGATCTCGGTTCAAAGCCAGCCCGGGCAGGAAAGTCTGTGAGACTCTTATCTCCAATAAACCACTAGAAAACCAGAATTGGCACTGTGGTTCAAGCGGTAGAGTGCTTGCCTTGAGCTGAAAAGCACAGGGACAGTGCCCAAGCCCAAAGTTCAAACCCTACGACTGACCCCCCCCCAAAAAAAATGTGGTTTTAATGCATAGATATATAGTCTCCAATACTGCCAGAAGAGGAGTCCTACCAGTTTTTGTTTCTCAGAAAGTTTCTAGTTTTTCTTCATCTTCTAAATTTATTTGTTTATTTGTTTTTGTGCCAGTCCTGGGGCTTGAACTCATGGCCTGGGCAGTGTCCCTGAGCTTCTTTTGTTCAAGGCTAGCACTCTACCACTTAAGCCAGAGCTCTACTTCCAGCCTTTTGGGGGTAGTTTATTAGAGATAAAAAGTTTCACAGACTTTCTCATCCAGGCTGACTTTGAATTAGAATCTTCAGTTCTCAGTCTCTTGAATAGCTAAGATTACAGGCATGAGCCACCAGTGCCCCACCTTTCTCTTCATCGTTAATGCACAGTAAATTTTCTCCAGTATACCTAGACTGATGTGGATTTCTTTCCATTTATCCCAATCAGCACCTATTGAACCCTCAAACTGCCATACACCTTTCATCAGTGAAAAAACAAAATTATGAAAAATCAAAATGTGTCTTCTTTTATTGCTTTGTCTCGATTTTATTTCTCACTGTTTCTGAGACCATTAGGTCAGTTAAAACTGATATATGTTCCATACATTTTAACCTTTCTCTCTCACTTCTGTTTTTTCGTGGGATTTGGAGCACAAAAGGAAAGGAATAATATGAGTTCTCTTTTCCATCTTGATCCACTTTCCTGACATAGTTTTTATCCCTCAAGGCTGAGTTTTTTATTTTAATGTCTGTTTTGTCTCAGCAGACTGTTCCTAAAGGAACATGACTCACATTTTATAACATTGATGGAAGGTTGATATTTGCCTAATATGCTTTTATTTTATACTGAGGTCATTTTTGGAAGATGCCTTTTTTAAAAAAAAAAAGCCATTATGCCAGTTTAAAAATGAGATTCTTGCTTTGTGCTATTGGTAATGAGCCCAGACACCTTAACGAACATGTTGCTATCTTAATCACTCATCAGGTCCAGGCAGCTCCAAGTGCTGATAAAGACCTTGATGCTTCTCCAGATGTCTTTTAAGTGTTAGCTCCAGGTGCAGTAAGTAGAATATTTGGAACTGGCATGGAGGTTCTAAAGTAGAATCTATGTTGAAGTTTCAGGTTCTTGGTCTCCTAATGATTTATTTTTTGGCCAGTCCTGGGGCTTGAACTTGGGGCCTAGATGCTGTCCCTGAACTTCTTTGGCTCAAGGCTAGCTACCACTTGAGCCACAGCGCCACTTCTGGCTTTTTCTGTTCATATGGTACTGAGGAATTGAACCCAGGGCTCATGCATGCTAGGCAAGCATTTTACCACTAAGCTACATTCCCAGCCCCTAGTAATGATTCTTAAGTCTGAGTCAAATCATTTATGGCACTCTCCAAAACAATAAATGCCTGAACCATTCACTGGATTTGCTAGCTCAGAATCTTGAGGGGTTAAGGCTGGAATCTATTTGTCTTTCAAAGCTCTAGAGGTTATTTTCATGTTCAGCCAAGGTTGTGAGCCATTTTTATCCCCTGTATATTGTTTCTTCTTCTTCTTTCTTCTTCTTCTTTCTTCTTCTTCTTCTTCTTCTTCTTCTTCTTCTTCTTCTTCTTCTTCTTCTTCTTCTTCTTCTTCTTCTTCTTCTTCTTCTTTCTTCTTCTTCTTCTTCTTCCTCCTCTTCTTCCTCCTCTTCTTCCTCCTCTTCTTCCTCTTCTTCTTCCTCTTCTTCTTCCTCTTCCTCTTCCTCTTCTTTCTTCTTTCTTCTTTCTTCTTCCTCTTCCTCTTCCTCTTCTTCCTCTTCTTCCTCCTCTTCCTCCTCTTCCTCCTCTTCTTCCCCCTCTTCTTCCTCTTCTTCCTCTTCCTCCTCCTCCTCCTCCTCCCTTCTTCCTTCTTCCTTCTTCCTTCTTTTTTGTTGGCCATGGGACTTGAACTCAAGGCCTGGGTGCTGTTCCTTAGTTCTTTTGCTCAAGGCTAGTGCTCAATCATTTTGAACCATAGTGCCACTTCTCACTTTATGGTAGTTAATTGGAGATAAAAATCACACTGACTTTCCTGCCTGGATTGGCTTTGAACCTCAATCTTCAGATCTCAGCCTTCTGAGTAGCTAGGATTACAGGCATGAGCCACCAGTGTCTGGTTGTATCTTCTTGTATAAAGAATTCCATGTCTTAGTTATTGTAAATAATGTTCTTTGTGAACATTAAAAATCTCTTGAAGACCCAATTTTCAGATCTTCAAGGTGTCTAGAGGCCATATTATTTTATATCCCCATCAATAGTATATAGACAGGGGCTGGGAAGGTGGCTCAGTGGTAGAGCGCTTGCCTTGCATGCCTGAGGCCCTGGGTTCCATTCCTCAGCACCACATAAGCAAAAAGAAAAAAAAAGCCGGAAGTGGCGCTGTGGCTCAAGTGGTAGAGCGCTAGCCTTAAGCTGAAGAGCTGAGGAACAGCTCCCAAGCCCAGAGTTCAGGCCCACGACTGGACCCAAAAAAAAAATAATATATAGACAGTCCAGTTTCCTTCCTTCCTTCCTTCCTTCCTTCCTTCCTTCCTTCCTTCCTTCCTTCCTTCCTTCCTTCCTTCCTTCCTTCCTTCCTTCCTTCCTTCCTTCTTCCTTCCTTCCTTCCTTCCTTCCTTCTTTGCTTTTCTGTGCTGGGCCTAAGCACTGTTCCTGAGCTCCTTTTGCTAAGGCTAGAGCTCTACCACTTGAGCCACAACTCCACTTTTGGCCTTTTTGATAGTTTGGTGGAGATGAGAGTCTTACATACTTTCCTGCCCAGGCTGGCTTTGAATTGTGCTCCTCAGCTCTCAGCTTCCTGCCATGAACCACTGGCACTTAGCTCAGTTTCTCTATCTCTTGTCAAAGCTTGTTTTCTAGGGTTCTTTTTTTTTTTTTTTAAATATTAACCACTTTAATGGCTGTGAGGCAAAATCTCATTGTAACATTTTGTTTTCTTGTTTGTTTTTTGAAGCAGAGTACCCCTTTGTAGCCTAGGCTGCCCTTAAACTTAGGAACTGCCTGTCTCAGCCTCTCAAGTGCTGGGATTATAAACTTGTACTACCACAGTGTGCTCATTGTAGTTTTGATTAGCATTTTCCAAATGACTAGTGATATTAAGCATCTTTTTGAGTGCATTTAGACATTGTGTGTCTTTTTTGGAGAAATATCTGTTTAAGTCCTTGTTTTTTTGTCATTGAATCTTAGGAGTTCTTTATATATTGTGGACATGAAATCCTTTTAAATACATATGATTTACAAATGTTTTAAAGTTTTTTGTTTTTATTTTTGGGTTTTTGCCAGTCCTGGGACTTGAACTCAGTGCCTCGGTGCTGTCCCTGAGCTTTCTTTGGCTCAAGGCTAGCACTCTACCACTTGAGCACAGAGCCACTTCTGGCTTTTTCTGTTCATGCGCTACTGAGGAATCAAACCCAGGGTTTCATGCATGCTAGGCAAGCACTCTGCCACTAAGCCACATTCCCAGTCAGTTTTGAGTTTTTTGGTATGTGAAATATCTTCAGAAATTTCATTGTTAGGCTGAAAATGTTTCTGGATATTGAAAGTCCTTCTGTTTTGTTTTCATTTCCTCCTAGGCCAGTACTAAAGTGGAAGTAGACATGGAGAAGGCAGAGAGCCTGCAGGTGACAAGAGGAGACTTCCTTGCTTCTTTGGAGAATGATATCAAACCAGTGAGTATGCATACTAAGCAACATACAAACCAAAATAATGATGATGATTATTATCATTCAGAAGAAAAATAAGTTCCATTTCACCTTTTTTTTTTTTTTTTGTCGGTCATGGGGGCTGAACTCTGGGCCTCAGTGCTTCAGCTCAAGGCTAATGCTCTACCATTTGAGCCACAGCTCCACTTCCGGCTTTTTCTGCTTATGTGATGATGAGGAATCGAATCCAGGGCCTCATGCATGGAAGCACTGTACCACTGAGCTACCTTCCCAGCCCTTACCTTATATTAATATTAAAATTGTCCCAATCTAAAACCTCTTACAGTAACTGAATATGGTGATTAACTGGTACCTAAATATTTCTCATAATAAGGAGCTCACCTTAGTATAAGGCAGTCCATTAAATCTTGACTTTCTAATTATTAGTTCTTTATATTAAAGTAGTAGTTTTCTTATTGGTTTAAACTATAGAAACCTAAATTCAGTCTGTCTTCTTTATGTTATTTATTATTTTTTATAACTAACTCTCTTGTCCTATCCTCTCTTTCACCTTTTCTTCCCTCCTTTAAGGCATCCATTTTTCGTTTTTGTTTTTGTTTTTTTGTGTGTGTTTGAATTCTGGGCCTGGGCAGTGTCAGCTCTTCAGCTCAAGGCTAGTGTTCTATCTCAAAGAACTCTTGTGGTTCACACTAGTAATACTGGTAGGAGGTAGAGTATCTCAGTCCAGACTGAGGCTGGCTTTAGGCCAAAAGCTTATGACCCTATTAATGCAGCCCTGAGTTCAAACCCCAGTACAGCCAAAAAAGTCTTAGTACTAAATCAGTCACAGTTAAAGTTTAGCATACAGTAGTTAGTATCAGATCACCAGCCAACCCCCCTGCCCCCCCCCCTTTTTTTTTCCAGTTCTGAGGCTTGAACTCGGCTTGGACGCTATCCCTGAGCTGTTCAGTTCAAGGCTAGCACTTTACCACTTTGAGCCGCAACACCACTTCTGGTTTTCTGGTGGTTAATTGGAGATAAGAGTCTCACAGATCTTAGATTCTTGATCCTTATTCAGATCTCAGCCCTGCTAGGATTACAGGTGTGAGCCACCAGAGCCAGCACACTAAACCATTTTTGTGTTTGTATGTGCCGGTACCAGGGCTTGAACTCTGGACCTTAGGTTTTTGCTTTTTCATTCAAGGCCAGAGCTATGCCATTTGAGTCACACCTCTACTTCCAGCTTTTTGTTGATTAATTGGAGCTAAGAGCCTCAGGAATTTATCTGCCTCAGCTAGCTTCAAAGTGTATTTCTCAGATCTCAGCCTTGTGAGTAGCAAGGATTACAGGAGTGAGATCCCTAGTACCAGGCTCTGGAAAATTATTTTGTAGCAAAGTAATAAAGACATGAGAACTGAATACTATTTCAGAGATTATTTTCTATAAAATGTAAGTTCTAAAGAACATATATCCACATCAGGTATCCAGAAATTGACTTTTTGAGGCATATGATGATCTTTTAACAAGTTGAAGTTCTCAAGCTCTATAGCCTTTACACTTACAATGGGCTAATTCCCTACTAATTTATTTTCCTGTTAACTTCATGAAAATCTGATTCAACTCTAAGTACTAAAATTGTTGACTACTTTTAGAAGTTATGATTATTAAGGATTAGAAGTTGACTGTGAAGTGGGATATGATTTCATCCTCAATCTGTAGTGAAGAGAAGTAAAAGGCTGCATTATTATTTTTATTTTTTTTCTAACCCTCAGTCTTTCATTATAGCTTCTTATTTTTTTGTCTCAGTCTAAACAGTTACACATGCGTACGTACCACAGTGCCATCTAACTTTATATACCCTACCATAGAGTTAATGTGGATGATACCCACTTTTGTTAACATTTTATATTTGTACTTTGTGTGTGTGCAGATCTTAGAGTTTGAACCCAGGGTCTGGGACACTGTCCCTAGGCTTCTTTTTGCTCAAAGCTAAAGCTCTACCACTTGAGCCACAGGCCTACTTCTGGCTTTTTTGATAGTTTATTGGAGATAAGAGTCTCATAGACTTTCTTGTTCAGGCTGGCCTTGAACTGTAGTCCTCAGACCTCAGCCTCCTGAGTAGCTAGGATGACTGAGCCACTAGTGCCCAAGCTGTATTCACATTTTAATCCACAGGACCCACAGTCAGCATTAAGAAAGTGTCTCTGTGTGCTGAGCTGCTTCTCATCTCCATTGTTACTTTTTTTTCTTTTATTCTTAAAAGAATGGCCTTGACCTGCACAGTTCTTATAGAAACAAGCATGTATGGAGCATATACTCTTTTGTTTTTTTTTTTTTTTTTTTGGTTGTGGGGCCTGAACTCTGGGCCGGTGTGCTGTCCCTCAGCTCTTCGGCTAAAGACTAGCACTCTACCACTTGAACCATATAGCCACTTCTGGCTTTTTCTGATTATGTGGTGCTGAGGAACTGAACCCAGGGCCTTATGCATGCAAGGCAAGCACTCTACCACTGAGCCACCTTTCCAGACCCATATACGCTTTTTCTCTCAGGGATTCTAAAGATCTAGGCTTTGCTGAAATCTGAGCCTAGAATCTATTTTTATTCTTCTGTGTCATCTAAACAGTTTTATTGTTGCTGTTGATTGAATTTTACGAAATTAGAAACTGCTGGGCACTGGTGACTCATGCCTGTAATCCTAGCTACTCAGGAGGCTGAGATCTGAGGATCGCAGTTCAAAGCCAGCCCAGGCAGGAAATTCTGTGAGACTCTTATCTCCAATTAACCGCCAGAAAACTGGAAGTGGAGCTGTGGCTCAAGTGGTGTAGAGCACTAGTCTTAAGCTGAAGAGTTCAGGGACAGCATCTAGGTCCATAGTTCAAGCCCCACGACCGACCCCCCCCCCCCCAAAAAAAAAAAAAAAGGAGAAACTGTGATGTGTTTGGGTCCAGGGAGTAGTTTGATTTGTTTTTTGCTTTTCAGGATTTTCACTTTATTTTTTTTTTTAACAGTCCTGGGGCTTGAATTCAGGACCTGAGCACTGTCCATCAGCCTTTTTGTGCTTAAGACTAGTGCTAGACCACTTGAGCCACAGTGCCACTTCTACCTTTTTCTGAATAGTTTATTGGAGATAAGAGTCTCACAGACTTTCCTGCCCAAGCTGGCTTCAAACCATGATCCTCAGATCTCAGCCTCCTGAGTAGCTAGGATTATAGGCATGAGCCTGTGGCGCCTGGCTAGGATTTTCACTTTAATATGAGGTAATGTTCAGTATTTTTGTTATATAGACATCATTACTAATCTTTTATACCTTTCAATATTTTTTTAAAGGTTTCAGGTTTTTTTTGTTTTTTACTGAACCAATGTACTAGTGCAGAACATAGAAACAAAGAGAAAAATCAGATTCCCAATAAAAACATGTCCAGATATCCAGACACTTTCAGTATGGTAATATGATAGTCAGGTCTGATAACTCGTATCTATAATCTTAGCTATTGGAGAATGAGATCAGACGGATCACAATTCAGGGCTAGTTCAGGCAAAATATTTATGAAACTCCATCTTTACCAATAAAAGCTGAGTGCAGTAGCATATACCTGTTATCCCAGCTATGCAGGAAGCAAAAATTGGAGGATTGTAGTCCAAGACAGACCCAGGAATAAACACAAGACCTACTTGAAAAATGAAAGTAAAAAGGGTTGGTGGTATGGCTTAAGTGGTAGAGCACTCACCTAGTTAGTGAAATACCCTGAGTTCAAACCCTAGTACCACACAAAAATAAGAAAAGAAAATAAAAAATATGATAATGACCATGACATAGCATAAATATGTATGTCATATCTCATGCAATTCCTTATAGATCCAGCTTAGTTCTCCAATGTTTATTCTTGGAACAAAACCTGATTTTTACTAACAATTTTCATCTGAATCCATTGAAGGATTTGATGGTTTTGATTTTGTTTCTTACACAGGAATCACTAAATCCAGCAAGTCTTATAAGAAGACTTGGTAAGGAATCGAGTGAAGCACATACAACCCAATGACAGAGGAAAGAAGAAGTTAAATATTTTAGTTTTAATACTAATACTTAAAATGCTTTAAACTATTCTTTTCCTAAATAGGCATTTGGCACAAACCAAGAGGATTATGCAAGTTACATTATGAATGGAATCATCAAATGGGGCGACCCAGTTACTCGAGTTCTGGATGATGGAGAGCTTTTGGTCCAGCAGACTAAAAACAGTGACCGTACACCACTGGTTAGCGTCCTTCTGGAAGGTGAGAAAATGATGGTAGGGTTTTTTAAGTTTTTTTAAGTACTTTTTTTAAAAATCCATTTAGCACATTCCAGAAAAGTGAATGGGTTTTAGTTCTAAATCTTATTCATGATCTGACGATCATAGCCCAGTTTATGTACCAATATTGTGAACAAATCAAAATTTTCTTGAATTAGAATGTTATTGAGAATGATAACAACTAGTTTTCTTGTAGGAATGTGTCTATAATTTTTTTTTTTTTTTTGGGTCCGGTCGTGGGGCCTGAGCTCTGGGCCTGGGCGCTGTCCCTCAGCTCTTCAGCTCAAGGCTAGCACTCTACCACATGAGCCACAGTGCCACTTCTGGTTTTTTTTTCTGCTTATGTGGTGCTGAGGAATCGAACCTCAGCCTCATGCATGCAAGGCAAGCGCTCTACCACTGAGCCACCTTCCCAGCCCCAATGTGTCTAATGTTTTTAGAACTTAATAAGTAGAATGATACTACATAGTTTGATTCAAGTCAATATTTACTGGATACTTGGTAAGTTTACTCATTGCTGGGAATATAAAAACATTGAAGTATTCAGTTTAGTAATGAAAAGAGACTTGTAAAAAAATTCTTAACTATACTGTATATATGTAAGAGTATGTTTGAATACAAGTCATTTTGCCTAGGACTAGTATGGGAAAACTAAAGATGATGTTTAATTTTGGCCTTGGATATCATTTAGGACTTCATTAGTTTACAGAAGAAGGACATCCCATTCACAAGTAATTAACTTGCAGTTATGATTAGTATGCCATCCAGGAAGTTCTGTGAGGCCAGACAGCAGGGGTACCTAACTCGCTTAAACATCCAGGGGTAAAGGCTCCTGAGAAAAGTATGTTAAACGAAGGCTCCAAGGATTAGAAGCTGGCTGGGCAAAGTAATTTGGGAAGATGTAAGTAGAAGTCCCTGGCAGTGGGAAACAGATTGGCTAGACAGGAGCCAATTCTCAAAGCTGTGTAGGCCTAAAGACTTAGAGTATACTGAGCTGGAAATGGGTCTCAATGTAGAGATTTGTGTAGTTTCCTGAGGCTCTGGGGTCCATCCCCAGCACCAGGAGAAGAAGAAGAAAAAGATTTAGACTGTATCTTAGGGGCAGTGGGAAGTCATTTGTAGGATTTGTATTGTTAGAATATCATCATGACTGCTTTATGAGGGAGAATGGGTTCAAAGGGCAAAAAAGATAAAAGACTAATGGTTAGAAGAATTACACTGTTCTAGTGAGCTGAATGTGATTTGAACTACTGGGATGACAGTGGCGATAGAGAAAAATTAATCTGAGCAATATTTAGGATGTAGAATAAAAAGTTTGACAAAAATTATTAGTAGTTATCAATCATCATTAGGCTAACATTCTTTGAGCCTTCCTATTTGCCAGTCTTTTTATTAGCACTTTACATATATAATATCATGTAAAGCTCCTTTCAGTCAATGCTCTTCTTCTCCCTGTCTTGTCTATGGGGAAGATGAAGTTTAGAAATATTGGTTGGAAGCCGGGCACCGGTGGCTCACATCTGTAATCCTAGCTACTCAGGAGGCTGAGATTGAGGATCATGGTTCAAAGCCAGCCTGGCCAGGAAAGTCTGTAAGACTCTTATCTCCAAGAAACCACTAGAAAACCGGAAGTGGTGCTGTGGCTCAAGCGGTAGAGCACTTGCCTTGAGCTGAAGAGCACAGGGACAGCGCCTAAGCCTAGAGTTCAAGCCCCACGACCAACCAAAAAAAAAAAAAAAGAAAAAGAGAAATATTGGTTGGATTAAATATAGACAAAGGTGTCAAATGTAAGTCCCAGGTTTCTGGTAAATGGAGATATTTACCAGGGAAGACAGATGGAAAAGCAGATTTCAAGAAAGCTCATGAAGGTGAAGGGTAAACAAAGGAGGAGGCTGCAATGCTTGGTAAGAAATGTATGCATTATCCTGCCCATGTAATTGTAACCCCTCTGTACAGTATGTTCTCAAATAAAATAAAATAAAATTTAAAAAAAAAAAAAAGAAAGCTCATGAATTCATATTAATAGATTCTGAGTTTCTGTATAGTTTCTAAATTCAAAATGTTGGATAGTTGATGCTTAAGTGAGTCAGTCACTTAGGACAACAGCCTGGCAGGCAGTTGATTCATGATTTGTCAATGTTTAGACTGACTGCCCTTGAAACCAATAGATAAAGTCACTTAGGGAAAGAATGTGCGTGGATTGAGATGAAAAATGAGTTTGTAAATAATTCAGGACTAAAGAGAACAAGGGAGAGTTGACAAAGGAGTAAAAATAATCAGAGAAGAGAAAGATGGGGAGCAAGAGAAGCAGAAAGAATATGCTGTCACAGAAGCCAAGAAAGGCATTTGAAAGAAGAGGGGAGTTTACAGTTGTATCACATGCTCCTAAAAAGCCTATAGAGAAAAGTGTTTTTGGAATTGGTGAAACAGAGGTTATGATGGCCTTGAAGGGAGTCTGATCACTGTGGAGGAGGTGGGAGCCTTTCGGGTTTGGTAAAGATGGGTAGAAGGTAAGCATTCAGGCAGCCAGTAGAGATCATTATGTAGGGAACTTGCTTTTTTTTTTTTTTTGGTTGGTTGTGGGGTTTGAACTCTGGGCTGGGCGCTGTCCCTGCACCCTTCAGCTCAAGGTGAGTGCTCTACCACTTGAGCCACAGCACCACTTCCGGTTTTCTAGTGGTTTATTGGAGATAAGAGTCTCACGGACTTTCTGCTCAGGCTGGCTTTGCTAGGATTACAGGCCTGAGCCACTGGCCCCCGGCTTGGAACTTGCATTTTGAAGACAGAAGAAGGTTAGTATGAGTTATTAGGCATGGTCCCTAACATCAGGTCCTGAGGCTGTAAGGAACTGATAGGTTTATGTTTAGAAGAAGACATATCTTCCAATACATAGGTAGGAAGGGGAGGCTTGTTTTAAAACAGGTAAATTTCTAGATTTCATTTGCCTTTATGAAAAGGGCCTAGTGAATCTTTCGAATTCTAACTTTTTTATTTTGTTTTTTGCCAGTCATGGAGCTTGAACTCAGGGCCTGGGCATTGTCCCTAAGCTTCTTTTGCTCAGGGCTAGCACTTTACCACTTGAGCCACAGAGCCACTTCTGGCTTTTTCTGTTTATGTGGTACTGAGGAATTGAACCCAGAGCTTCATGCATGATAGACAAGCACTCCTTCCCAGCCCAAATTCAAAATTTTTATGACAGATTTGCTTCTAATAAGGTAGTTTGGTCCTGTCTCTGCCTATATCATCTAGGAAGACTATTTTTTGTTAACCAAATGATTTAATAGAACTAATAACACAAGTCTATTATGTATTTGAATACATTCTCTTTTTACGGAGCAGAATCCTTGTACTTTATATATTTAGCCAGAAGCTTGAAAGATTAAGGCCGTGTAAGAAAGCAAGAAGGCATGTATTTCACCATACTTTTGAGAAATGCTAATCAGTTCATTAAGTTTAGTTGCTAATAAATAAAAGGTAACATGTCTGCTGTGAAACTGTGTCAGAATATGTTAATGTGCAACTAGTTGAGACTTGTTGGATTTCCCCTGTATTAGATTGGCTTTTTTCCCCTGACTTGCTGCTGTCGTCCTTCAGGCCCTCCTCACAGTGGGAAGACTGCTCTAGCTGCAAAGATTGCAGAGGAATCCAACTTCCCCTTCATCAAGATCTGCTCTCCTGATAAGATGATTGGCTTTTCTGAGACTGCCAAGTGTCAGGCCATGAAGAAGGTATCAAGATTTTTACTTTCGTTTCAATTTTACATCTCTTCAATGCATGTGATGCATGTGTATGTAAACACATGCATGTATGAATAGATCTTCCTTTCTGCATATGTGTATAAAACCTGTAGTGACTCTGTTTTTTGGAACTAAATTACAGTATTTGGGGAAAAAAAAGACTTAATTTTTTAATTGTGCAGTGCATTTTTTAAAAAACACAATTTTATTTTTATTAAGGTGTTGTAATTAAGGTGCTGTACAGAGGGGTTACCATTTCATAAATCAAATAATGAGTATACTTCTTTTTGGACAGTGTCACTCCTTCCTCTGTTTTCCCCCAGTTTTCCCTTCCAGTCCCTGCTGATAAATTACATAGTTCATTTTGTGCATTGCATTTTGTGTGTGTGTGCCTGTCCTTTGGCTTGAACTCAAGGCCTGGGCTCTTGTCCCTGAGTTGCTTTTGCTCAAGGTTTGTTCTCTACTCCTTCAGCCACGCCTCTACTTCTGGCTTTTTTTTTTTTTTTTGTAGTTTAGTGGAGATAAGAGTCTCAGATTTTCCTACCTGGACTGGCTTTGAGCCATGAACCTCAGCTCTCGCCCTCCTAAGAAGCTAGGATTACAGGCATGAGTCACCAGTGTCCCTATTGCAGTGCATTTTTAAGTGGGTCTTTACCTGCCAAATTATGCTTTATTTAATACATTTCTTTTTTTAAAAATTATCGTCAACTAGTTGTACAAAGGAGTTTCAATACCACCTACCTTCTCCAGTTTTCTAGTTCCATTTTTACATATATACATTAAGTATTATGATTGTATTTGCCCTATTTCTGTCTCCATTTGTCTGCCCTCTCCCTGGCTAGTACATTGTTTTAGTTAAAAGAAGGATCATAGTTAAGAATGTTCTAGTAGGGTAGAACAAATTTATTTAGGATTTTTTTAAGTTCTTTTATTAATGTACAGAGTTAGACTGTTCAAATTCAAATAACTTGACTATGTAGTTTGGGAAAGAGCAAACAAATCATTCAGCTGATATTCCTAAGAATCCTACAAAAGGATGATTACATTTTAGGTAATAATCAGAGTCAGATGACAACTTAATGCAGTCCTCATTCTTCTTCTTTCCCTGAGTATCACTTGTCACCTTTTTAATGTAACCATTCAGTAGAGTGAACAAAATAGAATGAAGGTCATCTGGTCTATCCCTTACTTCTATTTAAGGAGAGCCTCTAGAATAGTAGATGGCTGCTCTTAAAGAACTAAGAACCAAAGGTGAAAATGCTTAATGGCTGATTTTCTCACTTGATATAGCCGGTGTTGCTGTTGACATTCTCTAATTTTTTGCATACTCCCAGAGAGTTGAGGAAATTATTATTATTATTATTATTATTATTTTGGTGCCAGTCCTGGGGCTTGAACTCAGAGCCTAGACACTGTCCCTAAGTTTCTTTCGCTCAAGGCCAGCACTTCTGCCACTTGAGTCACATTGCCACTTCCAGCTTTTTCTGTTTATGTGGTACTGAGGAATAGATCCCAGGGCTTCATGCATACTAGGCAAGCACTCTACCACTAAGCCACATTCCCAGCCCTGAGGAAATTATTTTTATATCCAGCTGAAGTAGTTCTTTTATTTAAATCTTACTTTTCATGTTAATCTTTTATACATATGAAGCAATTATGTGTCAAAGAGATATAAGAAAATCAGTATCAAGAAAGAAAATCTCCACTGTACCAGTGGCTCATGCCTGTAATCCTAGTTCAGGAGGCTGAGATCTGAGGATCACGGTTCAAAGCCATCTTGGGCTAGAAAGGCCGTGAGACTCTTATCTCCAATAAACCACTAGAAAACTGGAGGTAGCACTATGGCTCATGTGGTAGAACACTCGCCTTGAGCTGAAGAGCACAAGGACAGTGCCCAGGCCCAGAGTTCAAGACTCACAACTGACAAAAAACAAAAAAGAAAATCTCCAAAATTGAAGTGCTATCTTATAAAAATCACTCAAGATGTTCTTTGTCCTTATTTCTAGGCCCTTACTCTGTAAAGCTGTAGGTAGAATGACTCTAGTTTTTTTTTAGAAAAGGGATTGAGCTGGAAAAACACACTTAAAAAGAAGCATCTACTCCAAAAATGTAAGCTTGAGAAAAATTAATATTCTATATAAGAATATTTTGTTTTGTTTTGTTTTTTTGGGTCCAGTTGTGGGGCCTGAACTCTGGGCCTGCACGCTGTCCCTCAGCTCTTCAGCTCAAGGCTAGCGCTCTACCACTTGAGTCACAGCGCCACTTCCGGCTTTTTTCTTTTTGCTTATGTGGTGCTGAGGAATCGAACCCAGAGCCTCAAGCATGCAAGGCAAGCGCTCTACCACTGAGCCACCTTCCCAGCCCTATATAAGGATGTTTGAAATTGAATTTAGAATATTATAGCTTACTCTGCTTCTAAGGTGAAACCAGTAATACCTATCCTTCCCACAAATGTCTGGATAGAATATCTTTAGAGTAGATAGAGGGTGTTTTTCTGGTTGCTTCTGCAATGCTGGGGAATAAAACCCTGGACCTGGGACTTTTTTTTTTTTTTTGTCGGTCATGGGGCTTGAACTCTGGGCCTAGGTGCTGTCCCTCAGCTCTTCATCTTAAGGCTAGCACTCTATCACTTGAGCCACAGTACCACTTCCGGCTTTTTCTGATTATGTGGTGTGAGGAATCAAACCCAGGGCCTCATGCATGCAAGACAAATACTATACCACTCACTGAGCCACCTTTTAGCCCCAGGACCTGGGGCATTTGAAGCAAGGGCTCTACCATAGTTCTTCCCAGCCCTCTTTCTAATTTTTCTTTTTCCTGATACCACTTCTGGTAAAAATTTAAATAATAAGCCGGGCGCTGGTGGCTCACGCCTGTAATCCTAGCTACTCAGGAGGCTGAGATCTGAGGATCGCGGTTCAAAGCCAGCCCGGGCAGGAGAGACCGTGAGACTCCTATCTCCAATAAACCACCAGAAAACCGGAAGTGGCACTGTAGCTCAAGTGGTAGAGCGCTCGCCTTGAGCTGAAGAGCTGAAGGACAGCACCCAGGCCCAGAGTTAAAGCCCCACGACCAACAAAAAAAAAAAAAAAAAATTAAATAATAGTTCTTGGAACCTGTAGCCATTGAACTTTCCAGTTAATTGAAAAGCTAATTCTGTTTGCATTTTTCTACTCCTATACTTGTTACAAACCGGTAAACTTCTATGCTGATGGTAAAGGTACTCCAGTGCTTTTCACCAGCTGCCAGCTTTGTCTTCAGATGTACTCTTGACATGTGGGTGGATGGTTTAGCTTTTCTATAAAGTTTTTAAAAAGTACTTTAGGCTTCTGCAGATCAAAGCTACTCTGTGAGTGTGAGATATTATCATTTTTATTATTTTAATCTCTTGCAAATTGACTTGAGGGGGGAAGGTAATATATTCTGATTTTAGAGGCTTAAATGGTTAAATTAATGGCTTAATAACTTATGATTTAATCTTTAAATTAGTGAAGCCTTTCAAGGTAGAGTTTTAGATGAGTGGAAGGCTAAGGAATATAAAAATGAGTGTCTATATAAGCTTATTCAAAATCATTTCAATTCATGATTCACTGTCTGGATCATCTATGCAATCTGTTAAAAATTACAAAAATTATACTTCAACAGTACAGGAAGTTCACATCACACTTTTTGGTTTTCATTTGGAGGGAGGTATATTATTTCCTGTAAGTAAAGTTCAGAATAGAGAAAAAGAATGAAGCATATTAGAAATATTACAAAATCTTTTGCTGCAAATAGTTTTTACCTTGTTACCTAATGATAGGTTGACAAAAGCCTGAGGGCTCAAACCAGTCTAAAGATGCAAAGTCTTCAGGTTGTTTTTGAAAATGAAATATAAATGCCATTCTTGTCCCAGAACTACCTCCCACCAGTATTCTCATCTCTACTTTTTGGTATGAAGAGTGGAAAATGTTTGAACGTTTTTTTCAAAGCTCAAATAAATTATAATGTTTTATTATTTTGAAGAAAATATTTCTTTACTTCTAAGTGCCCTCAATGTACTTTTCCTAACTAGAAGAATACATCAAGAAAGATGGAAAAGAGCATAGATGAAAGTAAAAATAAATCTGTTTTTGTATTTGTCCTTTCATTCTGTTTTCTACACACACACACACACACACACACACACACACAGAGTATATAGGGATCATATTAGAAATACTGTTTTAAGCTTTTTTTGTACTCATGATATTATGAACTTTTTAAAATGTCACTAAAACTCTTAATTCTAATATTATGTATAATATATAATTATCTTCAGAATTCAGGGGGAAACAATGACTTTTAATTTTTTATTGTGTAGTGCATTTTTATTGACAATGTCTTTACCTTCCAACTCATACTTTATTTACTATATTTCTTTTGTTGTTTAGGTTATTTCCAATCACTTTTCTTCTTTTGTTCCGGTCTTGGAGCTTGAACTCAGGGCCTGGGCACTGTCCTTGAGTTTTTTTTGCTTAAGGTTTAGTACTCTACCACTTGAGCCACAGTTCCACTTTTGGCTTCTTTGGTAGTTTAGTGGATATAAGAGTCTCACAGACTTTCTTGCCTGGGCTGGCTTTGAACCATAATCTTCAGATCTCAGCCTTATAGTCTAATATTCTATAGAACTCCTCAAATGAGGGAAATCACTGCCCTGATTTTCTTATCAGCTTCTTCTTAGATTAACATTGTATACTTGAGTAGTTGGGTGTAGGATTCAAATAGATATGAATTTAAATTCCAATTCCATCATCAGTATTGAGTGTAAAATGAGTTAATAGTCAGATCTGCATGTAATGGTACAGACCTATAATTTCAGCTTTCAGGAGGCTGAGGTAAGAAGATCAAAAGTTCTAGGCCAACCTGAACAAAATAGCAAGTTCTGGTCTAATGAGGGCTAATGTGTGGCTCAAGTAGTAGAGCCCTTCCTACCAAACACAAGGCTGAGGAAGTGGCACTGTAGCTCAGGT